AGGGGGGGGGGCTGGCACTTCCTGTTCAGAGGAACCAAGCTATTTAGGTGGAGACATCCCAGAATGAGAAGAGTCCTACAGTGTCAGGAGGAGGCCACCATGTGGTCAGCATGGTGAGGAGTGATTTATCCCTTCACTTGCTGAGGAATCCACCAAATAACTGGGACAGGAGACACACGCAACTGCACATTTAGAGAATGCAGGATGGCATCTCATCTGCTGTCGTTTCACACTGATTATAAATGACCCAAAAATTCAGGCAGGTGGTTAACACAGATGCAAGAAGTTAAACCGGCTCTGTTAAGGAAGGAGTGGGACTTGGCATCAGCTTTTAAGGCTGTGATCTTCTTTACTGTTGGTCAAAAGGATGCCTCCCTAAAGCCACAGGGGACCAGAGGGACCGGCCAGCTGTCATGGAAACCAGATGGCTCTGACAATATTTGACCACCTTCTTAGTGCCAACCTAAAAATTAGAGAGTCAGAAGGAGATCTGGGCAGCTCTGCCTCAAAACAATTATAAATGGACTATACTGCAAGGAGATTACCCTCCGCTTTAAGAAAGAGTTCCCAGAGATGCAGGCTCCCGGATGTTCTTTATGATGATGCTCAGTATGTTCCCCAAACCCACAGCATGAGCACGCGTCGGGACCCACCTTCATCGCCTGACTGGCAATTGGGTCACTAATGCTGGGACAGGAGATGGATTTAATTAATATGCTAATAAACCGTTAGTGAGTTAGCAGTCACTTCCCAATTCTAAGGAGAAGCAGGTGGCCCAAGCCAACCTGCTTCCACATCATCTCCAAGTTAGAGTGGCTAGAGCCAGGGGGGATGACGGTGTCTTTTCTGAAATCTGCAGACCCAGCGTGCCCTGGTCGTCTTGTGGAAGTTGGAAGAGGCATCCAGAGAAGCGTCGAGAGGGAGAGCGAGAGGGTCGCGGCTGGGGACTCACACGGAATGAAGCGCCAGCTGCAGCCCTCCGACTGCCGCAAATGAACCTTGGCAGAGATCCCAGCACACCATGAGCTGGCACATGCTGAGACAAAGCCATCAGCTGATTCAGGGGAATGACAGCAAGTCAGGTAATTATTTGCAGGAAAACAAACACAAAGCTCATGTTTCTGACACATCCTTTAAACAGGGAAAGCTTCTGTGGCCCGCGCGATTACCTCGAAGGGAAGAGAAGTGTGTGGCTGGTTGAGAAAACCTAATATGGAGGAGGAGAGGAGGATGAGGATGAGGATGAGGAGGACGAGGAGGAGGAGAAACAGAGAGAGCTGTCCCCCGTGGGGACGCACGGGCTGCCCGGCAGCCAGCCTCACATGGCCCGCAGTTGTGAGCATGCGCAGCTTACAAGCATCAGATTTCCTGGATGTTCCAGAGGCACCAAAGTGCACAGTGGTGCAACAGCTCATCGGACGTCCCCAGGTCTCAACAAGCTACAGTGAGCCCCCTGCGGCCTGTGACCTCCAGACCGGCCTGGGCAAGCCAGGTGCAATGCTGGCGTGGAACCAGGAAGCTGCTTGGGTCATCTTTGCTTCCTCAAAAACCATTAACAGCCACCGAGACAGGACAGCTGCCATAACACCCAGCACATCCTTATGGGTCCCCAGCACCCAGAGAGGGAAGCGTGGAGACAGGCTCCCCAGTCTCCCCTTCCCTCAGTGAAAGTCCTCACCGGCTCCACACAGCAGTGCAGCCAGCTCCAGAGGCAGCTGCTGAAGCTGAAGCATCAGGTCCCTGGGCTGCCGTCCACAGCACACATGTGGACCAAGTCCACTGTCTCCAGAGTCCCTCCAAATGGTCCACTCAACAGCCTGGTGCTCTAGCCCCAAACAACTGGCCTCAGGCTTTCCAAGGCCAGGACTGCTCGCTGCCTGAGGGAGGGGCTGGTGGGAGCCCAGAAGGCACTAGAGGCCCGGGCTGCCTTTCACAGTGTCTGACACGCTGTCTCAGGCCCACATGAACGGCTGCCCTGACTGTGGTCAATGGCTCTTGGAGGCAGGAGCAGAATGACCTCCACATCAACACCCAGAGAGCAGCAACGGTGGCTCAGAGCACAGGCTTAGCCCACAGTTAGTATGTGATTGTGAACTTGACCACGTGTTCCAACCAGTTTTCTTAGTTCAACTGGTTACAATTACAAACACAGCTTTAAAATGGTGAGACAAGGTCCTGGCTAAGTGCAGACCACGTCCACCTGGAGATCCTGAAGGCAGGACCACAGAGTGGCACCCACTTCCCACCAGGTGGCCGGCAGAGCCACTGCCCATGTCAAGAGGCTGCCTCGGCATTACTTGCATTGATGACAGCAAAAAAGAAGCAGATCAACATGACCAGAATCTATGTGAAAAACAGACTTGGCCAGAAATGGCCACAAGCCCTGAAATAGCCACACAGGACAGCGGACAGCACAATGGAGAGAGGGCGGTTGCCAATCCGCCTTTCCAGCAACTCCAAAGCACAGATGTGCATCAAGCTCGCCAGCAGTGCTGCCCGATGCAGCTGACTTCCAGGGGCCATGAAGGGTGCAGGCAAAACTAGTCCTATGGCACAGAAGGACGTCCCAGATGCACACGAAGCCTCTTAGACTCTGACATTAAAGGAAGTACCAACTTATTGCTTTAATCCTTACCCAGCCAAAGCGATTTTTGGTGGTCCTGGAAGAGCTGATCCTGTGGGGAAAGCAGGCCCGGGAACTGCCGAGGGGCGGGCCCCGCTGTCCAGCTGCACAAAGTCAAAGGCAAAAGTTCTTGGAATCAGCAGCACCCACCAGCTCCACGCACACCTGGGTCTCTGCCCACTCCTCCCAGCCCCTGCCACACCTTGTTTCCAGACAAATCCAGTAATAGGCTGAAGCCATCTTGCAGGCCTGCCCGGACACAGGCCCCGTGCTCACGAAAGCCCCAACCCGGGGATGCAGAGAGGAAGAAGGCAGGGAGGGAAGGGGCCGCAGGGGACAGCATACAGCTATCAGTTGGCTGCCAGGGATATTTCTTTTTTATGAAGTATCAGTTGTGAAGTAAAGTCCATTACATAATCCATTAACTGAGAGTGTTCTTATTATTTTTATGTTTTAATATATACATAAGAGATTTTGATATTTGACATCTCATTGGCAACCACTAATTTTTGTCTGTTTAAAAAAATATTTAAAGGCCAAGTGCAGTAGCCGCACTTGTAACACTAACTCAGGAGGGAGGCTAATGCAGGAGGATGGCAAGTTCAAGGCCAACCTTAGCAACTTAGCAAAGTTCTCAGCAACTTAGCCAAAACCCTGTCTCAAAACTGAAAAGGGCTGGGGATGTGGCTCAGTGATCAAGTACCCTGTGTTCAGTCCCCAGCACCAAAACGCAAAAATTTTATAGTCGGTTCTAACAACCTCAGAAGCAGCACAGCAGGCTCTGGGTTGTGTTCTTCCTCCCATCCCTCACCAGGCGAGGGGCGACAGCAAACCAACCCTGACCCCCTGCCCTCTCATCAGAAACTTGAAGAAATGAAAAGTTCTAGATGAAATTAGGGTTCTAGATGATTTGAACATCATTGTTTACATCCCCTCCCTGTCCCTCCATCTTCCAAAAATGAGCTTCCTTCAAGAAGTGCAGCAATGGAAGAGCACACGTCTTATTCACCCTTTGCCTTTTCTCTTCTGCCCCCTTCAGCTGTGTGACATCGAAGCCTGTCAGAGCCACAAGATGCAGGGAGACCACCCTCCTACTGGGCTGTGTGCACCCTCCCCATGGTCTCAATCCCAGGTGGGGTGGGACCTATGGCGTCCTTCCCATCCTGCACCACGCTCTGAGCAGTGAGAGCTGAAGGAACGGACAACTGGAGTCTGGCAAGGAAGAGAGGGATTCTAGGACACAGCAAAAGTCCTGCTGAAATAATTGTCCCTGAGACAAGAGGTCAGGGGGAGCCACGGTGGGGACAGTAATAAACATGGCCAGGGAAATACAGGAAGGAGGGGAAGCTGTGGTGACGGGCGTCTGTGGCACGAGATCTTGGGGCCTTCCTGACTGCAGGGAGCTGTGGCTGCGGTGGTGGTGGGGGCTCCCTCAGTGCTCACCAGCCAGGCAGGCACTTCCTGTGTCCGGCACTGCCCAGAACCCTGTTTCCCCTGGCCTCGACACGTTCGCCTCGCTGCCTCAGGTCGTGCACCCGCTGCTGGCCATCCCAGCCTTCTCCCTTCTGCCCAGCGTCTCCACTGGGTGCCTGAGATATCCCAGACTCCCGGACACATGGGCTCCTTGGCTCACCCTGAAACACCTGGGGTCAACTTTGTCTCGGCCAATGGAAACTCCACACATGCTTCCATTGGTTCAGGCTGAAAATTGGCAAATGGGGTACAGTGCTGGCCTTGAGGTGGCAGGACAGGGGCTCAGGGATTCCGGAGATGGCAAGGAGCTGGGTCCAAGCTTCCTCCTCCCTCCCGGACCCTGACTATAGTAAAGGGATCAATGCCTACTAAAGGTTTCACTGTTGCTTTCTTGGGCACTGGGGAGTGAACCCAGGGGCACTTAACCACTAAGCCACATCCCCAGCCCTTTTTATTTTTTGTTCTGAGACAGGGTCTCACAAATTTGCTGAGGCATTGTTCAACTGTTCGGCCTGATGGGCAAGTGCTGCACCACTGAACCACATTCCTAGCCCTTGCTGTTGATTTTTAACTGTGTGATAAATTATAGTTCCTGAGTAACTTCAACCACAACAACTGAAATTTCAAGAGACATTAATGTACTTTTGTATTAAAACAACGACTCACTTGTTGTGCAATGAGATTTAATTTTGCTGGTACTGGCAAAAATCTTCCTACTAAAGTAGTCATTGGCTTTGGGACATCTGTAAGGAAGACAGTTAAAGTTAACAATGCACACAATTGTTCCTCTTCCGCTTGTGCGCGGGAGGAAGGGCAAAATGTAATATGGCTTGATCATGCATGAAGTTATTGAAACTTAGTTTTTAATTCCATGAAAATTTTCAGGTCAATCTTTGTTGTGATTATTTTGTTTTCACCTATTATACCCTTTTGTTTATTTTTCCATCATAAAGTTGCAGGAGCAGAGCCTCAAGGGTGGTCCACTGTGCTAAGGAAATGGTGCTACAGCCCAGGTTCCCAAACTTTGTGCCAAGGTGTCTGGGTGTGGCAGCAAGTTGGCCAGGGCACTAGGGGGATGATACGTTTTAAAGAAAGCCCAGTGACCTGTGTCCAGCACCACATCAACTATGCTCATTGTGTGTGTCTTCTTCTCTTCAAATGAAATAAATAAATACTTATTAAGCTATTTGGACCAAATTCTTCATACTGGAACTGAAAGGTATTTCTTTGGCCTAAAGGTGCTAAAAAAGACCTTCCTGATAGTGAGGGTGCAGCAGAGCTCTGTGTCCTGAGCCTGGGTGGAGAAGCCGGTGTCCTCCCTGCCACAGCCCTGCAGGCTGAGCACACTTCCTCTCCTAGGCCTCCCCTCCTTGGTGGTGACTCAGGGAGGGAGAGCAGCTTGCCAAGCCGCCTGCTCGGCCCCTCCCTGCCCCTTTCACTCTCATTCCAGCTTAAACAGACAGAGGATAGGATTTTCACTCATCACTTTGTACCTGACTGTAGATAATTATTCTGGTCTTGATGCTGGGGAACCAAGTGAAGGGCCTTGAGCTCTCTTGTGCCAGAATGCTCTATGCACAGCATCTGTGCCCCCCCTTTCAACTGACATATCACCTAAAATGAAAAAGAGCCATCAGGTTCCATTGCTCCAGGAATCTAAACCTAAAAGAACTACATCAGAAAAGAGCTTTAATCCAGGGTTGAAGTTTTAGGGGAAGATGGGAAGCTACACATCTGTTCTGTTTCTCCCTATTCAATAGCTGCTCCTTAAAAAGCCCCCCAGAGACTTCTCTGCGGTGCTTAGCCAGTGCTAACAGAGAGTCCGCCCTGTCTCCTCCACTTTCTGACAGAGACTTGTTTAAGGAAAGAGGCCTCACACAGAGCCCCGCTTCCCTGTCCTTAACTGCACATCCCACATTAATACAGAGTGCTCGTGGAACCTGTTCCACTGGACTTGGCTATCCCCACCATGTCCTCTCTGTTCTTGGTGGCCATGCCCAGGCACATCTGTACATGGTTCTATAAGCAGTTATTTCCTGCCGCTTGCACATATTATTTAACAAGTAGTTGATTTTTAAAAAGTTCCTCTTATTTACCACAAGGACAGTTTTGAATTTTCTAAGAACTAGAAAATCTTAAAAAGCTACATGGATCTTCCTGGGCCTGCTGAGCACTGCCAGATCCCCATTTGGATTCTGACACTGATGAATCCTCAGCGAGCCAGGTCAGCCCATTAATCTCAGGATCGACAGTGCTCCATGAGCACCCACTGTGGTCCAGGCCAGTGGCACAGACACATGAGCACCCACTGTGGTCCAGGCCAGTGGCACAGACACATGAGCGCCCACTGTGGTCCAGGCCAGTGGCACAGACACAGGCACAGCTTCCTGTTACAGGAGAAGGGGGCCCAGCCCCTCTAGGATGCCAAACCACAGGGCACCCAGCTCAGTGCATGACCCCTGGCTCTGCGTGGGCTGACATGACTTCTGGTCACTCTCCTCAACAAACACAGCAAGGTCCCAATCCTTCTTTATCTTGCTAAGATGGAGTAGAAATGAGGATCCTAGAGGTTAGGAGGTGAAAGGTGAATGCTCCTGTGGACATTATCCCTTGGCAGATGAGACAACCAAAAGCGCTGATTCAACAGACAAGTGGAGTCAGAGACAGCGGGCGGCGTTTACCAGGAGCCGGTCATACGCGCCTGTGTTGGCATATTTACCATCGGGCTGGAGTCTTTCTTGCGAGAGCAGCCAGGGGCATCCTCTGCTTCTTGGGATGACAGGAAGGTGCAACAGGACTCCTGAGCAAGAGGACTCTGGAAGGCTGCTTCCTCAGGGTTGTCACTTGCGACACTGCCACCCCCTTCCTTGATCTCAACCTAGAAAAGCAATGGTTATCTCAGAGAAGACATCGTGCACTGTACTGAAGACCTACTAGATCTGAGCTCTGCGTTTAAGTCACGCGTGAAATGGCGTCCTTACCACAGTGGCTCCTTCCTCCCTGGGGCTTCTAAAACCATTCACCCCCTACCCCCATGGGCAACAAGAAGGGGAGTCGGTCATGTGCCAGCCTCACCTGGGACTGAGGACCCAGAGGAACAAAACCGTCTGTCTGTGCTGTGCAGGTGGCGATGGGAAATGAGGTGGTGCTTCTGCTATTTCCAGAGTTCAGTCTAAATAACCAAAGGGCCCCCCTGGGTCTGGCGCCTCTCAACAGCCCCTACTCCACTGGAGTTGGGAGCCCTGTGGACCGAGTGTCACCTGAAGTGCTGACCCTCATCAGGTGTCCTTTCAGCATGCACCTTAGGTCCTATTAAACCGTCTAGTCAAATTGTTTTGCTTTTTCCTCAAGAAGCCCAAAGTACTTGTGATGTTTTAGTATTAGTATAATGTAATTTATCACTAGTAATGTATTTAAAGTAATATCTTAAATTTAAAAGTAGCCCCTTCCTGCTGTAGTAGTAAGACAATAAGAAGAAACAGTGAGCACTGGAAACCAGCCCCAGCTTTGGATTCCATTCTATTCCCTGTGCCCCGCCTTTTTCTTTTTTGGCCCTGGGGATTGAACCCGGGGTGCTCTATCACTGAGCTGTGTCTCCAGCCTCTTTATTTTTTGAGACAGGGTCTCACTAATTTGCTGAGGCTGGCCTCAAACTTGCAATCTCCTGCCTTAGCCTCTTGAACAGCTGGGATTATAGGCCAGAGACACCAAGCTGGTCACCAGCTCTGTTTCAAGCCATCCTTGTCAACTCAATTACCAGAAACAGGGAGAAATAAAGTGGCATCACTTAAAAATCAAATGAATTTTTAAAAAGTGTAAATGTCTCAATGGTTAAAAAAATTACCATCACAATTGTTTCAAAATTGGGAAGATTTTAAGTTTGTGAAGAGAACAAGGAGGGTGGGGAGACAGGGCACATTTTGCATGGCTCTCACCTACCTCTCCACCCTGCCTGCCCAGGCTGCTTATCAGAGCACAGGTGACCTCCTCAAATACCAGGGGGCAGGGGCAGATCCTAAAGTCCTCAAACAGGTGGTGATTCTAGGGTAATATTTAAAAACCTCACATGAAATCACCAACAGGAAACTGTCTCAAAATGCTGAGTGCTGACTCAAGCTTGGTCTAACCTAGTAAAAGCAGAGGTCCCAACAACAAGTACCACATACTGGCAAATACTTAGCCCAGTAGACTAGCATCTAGTGTAAATCTTAACAGATACAGGAAAGTTTAGCTACATTTCAAGTTATAGCCTTAGTTAGACTCTCAAGTTTTATAGACATACAGAAAAATGTTAAAATTTCCTTCTGCTTGCTGTGTTGGGGAACCTGCCATGCATATTTAGATTTACCTCCCCCAAACCAACCAACATTTATGTAGTAAATAGTTAATCTCCTCAGCCCTGTGCAACTAATATCTTAAAATACTACAGCAAAATTATTCATACTACAGCAAAATTCCACTTTCACAGAATCTAAATGAAGGTCAATATGTGGGAATGAATCTCCAGAAAAAAGAAAATAGTAATTCACTCTGCATATTTACTGGAAAACAATTCCATTCAGTTTAAATGATAAATATATCCCTGTTCTTTTTCATTTTATTAATGAATCAGGAAATTGTCCATAAAAAATTAAAAAATGAAAGTTTCTCCTTTGTCAATCTGTCAAACTTGGATAATGTTAAAAGATTGTGTCACCATCTTTGACATCAGCTAATTCTCTGCCCTGCCCTGACTCCACTTGGAGAGGGAGGGAGCCAGCCCATCTGGGAGCAGCAGGCAGAGGTGCTGAGACCCCCAGCTCTGCTTGGTGGCAAAATGGGTTTCTGACGTTCGGAGCCAACTGCAAACAGTGCTGAGGGAGGCCTTGGCCCTGGGGCTGGGGCTCGGGGTTCCTCTGAGGACAAACTGAGCACTGTAGGAGCCCCAGCCTCTGCCCCACATCTTCTGGGACACTAAGGAGCAGTGAGTAGGACAAAAGAGAACCCGAAAAGCAGAAATTGAAGCTCCGCTGTGTGGCTTATGACAGGCTCAGTCATCTCAGCAGAAAAGCCCACTCTAGAGCTAACTGTGTGAACATGAGAGGTATCCAGTATTCCAAGCCGGGTCCTTTCTGGGGACCAAGGTGAATTTGAAATCTGACTCATTTAGTTTCAGCAAGAAGAAAGCAGAAAACAGTGGCTCTTCTTTGCTAAAGAGACCCATGCGTTGAGAATCAGCAAGATTTAGACTCTGATCTCTATCACATATTTTAAGAACCATTCCTCCTTCTCAGAGGGAACCTTGATTCTAAGCTCAGCAAATGGATACCAACTTGATTCCTTGGTGTGACTGACAAGTCTGATGTATTCAAAGAAAAGACCGTAAGGTGGGACTGGGGTGGGGCGCGGTGAGTGCTGGCCCAGCCCGCGCGATCCCCAGAACCGCAGGATAAAACCCAACGGACACAAGATGCAGACACGTGAGCGCCCGTTACTCTACCCTAAGTCAGGCTCCCTCCCTAAAGAAGCCGGTAACAGCAGCGGCCAAGTTCAGCCTTCTCTGCTCTTCCCTCTCCGGAGACGTCTGCACCTCCGGGCCGCTCTGACCCAGGGCACAGTCACCTGCAGGAAGAAGGGCAGACGCGCCCTGTCGGGATGCTACCGGCCAGGGGGACTCTTGCTGTGGACCCGCGCCCCGGGGTGCGTTTGGACTCGGGTGACCCGCGGGGCCCGCCCCCAGGCGGCTCTTACTGGAATCACCCGCACTCCGGCGCCCAGCGGCACCAGCGCCGGGCCGCGGGGCGCGGGCAGCAGCGAGGACAGGACGTGCACGCTGTAGGCGGGCGGCGCGGCCTCCTCCGGGGCGCGCAGCTCGGGGAGCCCGGGGAAGTCCCCCAGCAGCGCCGCCTGCACCTCGCCCGGGCAGTCGGCGCCGGGCGGCGGGCTGAGCGCGCGCAGCAGCGGCTCGGCGGGGTCGGCGGCGCCCAGGTAGGCGTCGCCCAGCACGGGCAGCTCGTCCGGCTCGGGCTTCACCACGACGCCGGGGCTCAGGGCCAGGCCCTCCGGGACGAAGGGCCGCTCCGGGCAGAAAAGGTCGGTCACCATCTCATCGTCGGGGCCCGACATCGCGCCCAGCAGAGGGGCCTCTTCCATGGCCACAGAGGGACGCGGGGTCGGGCATCGCCCGTGCCCTGCTCCAGCCTCGCACCTGCCACGAGCGGCCAGGTGAGGCGCGCCGGCCACGCCCTCTGGGGGCGCCGCAGCCCGACCAGGACCGGGGCTCGGGCCCGAGGGGCGACTGGTCGGGCCGCCGGGGACACACCTGGGCCGCCCGGCTGCGGCGGAGCGACGCGGTGGCCGGTGCGAGCCTCGCGTTGCCTCGCGCCGCGGCCGTTGGCGGTTGGGGAAGGGGCGGGGCGTGGGCTGATACCTGGTGGGCGGGGCCAGCGGGTGGGCGGAGCCGTGTAGGGGCGGGGCCACCGCCCTGCGTTCGCGGGTAGGAGGCTGGAAGAGCGCTCTAGGGATCCACCGCTCCTGGCCCTGGTGGGGAAAGGGACTCCCAAGGAGTCTGGAGCAACTTGTAGTCCTCCTAGGAGGTGGGACTCCCTAGCTGGACGTCTGACCTCAGCTGTCGTAACCCCACCTCAAGCAGCAGGGCGGAGGGACAGGGGCTTGCCCGTGTGCTGGCACTTCGTGTTGTTGGCGCGGACTTGCTCCCCAGCAACTCAATATTGGTGCTTGGGCGCGGGGAGAATTGGCCTAGAAATACAAGCAGCAAATAAAATTAAGCTCTCAAAGTTCGGGGTGGGGGGTAAACTAAGTCCACCTTCCGGAGCCAGAAGTAACAGACATTGACACTGCTTCATGAAGAGCGTAGTTAGAGTGGTGGCTACAACCTACGGAACGGGCAGAGTTCAGAGGGTGTTTCTGCTGGTTGTCGGTGCTGGGAGACCCACCATTTGCCTGCTTCCATGTGCAAATACTGTTTTAGTAAAATAAAAAAGTTAGAAACATGAGCTTTCTTATCTCATTATTAAAAACACTTTTCTAAGAAGTCACAGGGGAGTAGCCCAGGCACAGCACCGAGTGCTATTTAGCTCTACATTCAGATATTCGGAAAATCCCAAGAAAATTTTATCCAGTGGAGAATTATTAAATTTGGGCTGGCAAGTTTGAAGCACTCAAAAACAACTAGGACTTCTTTGTCTGAAAAATTACTTTGGGGCATTTGAATTGACTGACAACTGGGAACTAAATTCCCTGTTGGGAATGTTCCCATGTGAACAACCTAAAATATAGCCCAGGCAACCAGCTAACTGCAAACACACAGGACTTGAATCATTTTCTTGGTCATATCGCTGCAAAGTGGAGCAGAATTTAGCAGAAAAGCTTCCTGTGCACCTGTGCTGTTTCCTTACCTATGGGCAGGAATCCATAGAGGGCTTCTTCAGATGGGAATCAGGACAGCCACCCCCTTGGTTACTACGTGGCCCTCCTGCTGAAGTCCTTACATGGCACAGATGAAGCCGAGGCTTCCTTGGGCACCCCAGCCCAATCCCTTTGCCTGTCCAGTCCTCTCTCTGGGTGCCTACCCGTGTGTGGGTGACTGTGTTCCTTATGGCTGCAGTAATCATATCATGTGGAATTTAGAAACTGAGCTCAGGGGCAGGTCCGAGAGCCCACATCGGGCTCCCAAAACGGCAGGGATTGAGAAGGTAGCTATTACACATCAGAGTACGGGGAAGACATCTGGGGAACTGGAGCAGGAGGTCACACACAAGTCTGTGCCATTTGTTCTTTCTGCGGTGGACAGAGCCCCAGGTGTGTCACCATGCTGGTCAGAATCAAGCCTGGGACCTCCATTCCTGATGCTGTCTCTAGGTGCTCTGCTGGCCCTGGCAGACTGGCCAAAGCTGGCTCTGTCTCGTCATTCAGTCCAAAGCCCAAACCCACTCTAACTAGGAACCTCCCTGAGCCTTCTTTCACTGCCACGGCCCTGGGGGTCCTCTCAGATGGTGGGCTGGATCCTCCCCTTCTTCTCACAGGAGCTGGAATGGCCAGCCAGACCCTGGTGGGGTCCCTGCTGTATTTGCAGGACCCAGAATAGATGCTCAAGAAGACCTGCCAAAGAAACCGCATCTGACCTTCATGGAACATGAATCTGTCAAGCACCTGCGGTGTGTCAGGCCTCGGACAAGGGAACGGATGTCTGAGTAGATACGGTGAAAATCAAGAGGCTCCATTTAGATACTTTCCTGAGTTAAGCACAGGAACCTGGGGACATCTACCCTGTCTACACCAAGGTCACTGCCTGCTGCATAATTCTCTCTATTGGCATAGCAAAGACACAGACAGTGCTGTAGTAGACAGGATTAATGTTTTATTAATGATCATCTACATTCACACCATGCATTTCTAAGATTTACATCCAAGAGCACATTGTATTTACACGCAGTGGACAGATCAGGATAACCAATTTAAACCATGGCTGTGTTAAGACTCTAGTTTGTTCCAAATTAAATTAAATATATAATACTCTCACCTCCCCCTTTTGACATGTACAATAAAAACCCACTCTTCCTCTTTTTAAGGAATATAAAATTGCATTGATAACTGCACACTGATTAGCAACAAATACATCTGAAACATATAAAACCTGAGAGATAAGCCCAAGTGTGTTTGAGTGCTAACACGTCTACACTCGGATTCCTGTGTGGACACATGGAAACGACTGCTCAGTGGTCACCAGCACACTACCTGGGTGACTCTGGAGGAGCTCCTGTGGCTGCTGCCTGCTGGCTGTGAGCTCCACGGCCCTGGGCAGGGGCAATTTCCCCCAGACCCACCGAATACCACAGTACGGGGCTTTGTTTACTATAATAGTTTACTGTTCTTGTTTTTGCCTTTTGTTGACATTCCTTCTAGATTTTAAGAGGAAAGGATCTTTGGCCCATGGAGGTGGGATTTCTACATTACAAAACACACAGAAGTAAGACATGCACGTCGGGCAAGTGCTCTGTCTGGGCAACTGCCCAACCCTTGCTCTTTGTCACTGGAGTGCAGAAGCAGGAAGGGGGAGCCCGGCAAGGATAAAGTGGTCAGAAAAATAAATACACAATTTAAAAAATGGACCGCGAAACTCGTGGCGACAGACCAGAGGCAGCGGGATGTCCCCATGATGCTTTGCATCTGCACTCAATACTGAGGATGACGGAGGGCACAAGTGCTTCGGGATCAAGCAGGCGCTTCCGGTGAAGGCACTCCTACCCGAAGGTCAGGCTGTGAACCTAGCACCCACCACTGGGCCACTCTGGTCTCTCGTCAAAGTGACCCGGACTGCTGTTCCAGCCCCCTCCGGCTCCTTTGGAAATGAGGTCGGGTCTTCTCTCCGACCAGGGGGGATGAGAAGGCAATCCCACTGGGGTCCCAGACCAGGAGTCCTGACCACAGAGTGTTGCCCTGCCCTCCCCAGGTTCTGCTCCCTTTGCAGTGGCACCGTCTCGCCAGCAGGGGGAGCAGTATGTGTGAGGCTGGCACCAGGCCTCATCTGTAGCTACCATCTGACCATCCATCCCTGTTATTCTGCTGCCTAATGATGGCAGGAAGGACACCCATGAGGGGAACCCAGCACGGTTGCTCCCAAGAGGGAATTGGTCCTCTGGGGTGGGGACACTGCAGCACTGACCTGGGGTCCTCTGCGCCTAGCATATTGAAGAAGGTGCCACATCCCCACAAGTCACCCAGACTCCCAATCCCCACCCACCCCAGAGGGCCTCCCACTTTAAGGCACTGGGTTCTGGAGACTTGAAAGGTCAGTAACACTAAGGAGGCTGCATGGGGCTTGCTTCAAACACAGACCAGCAACCCAGACAGGACAGTTACCCACAGCGACAAAGCCGATCCCCCAAGCGTGGGTTCTAGTTAGTGCGTGACCGTGTTAGCTGCAACTGTTACCACTGCCGACCCGAACCACACATTTCCTTTTTACAAATCAAGTGTCTGAACTGCTGTGATGACGCTGGACGCCTTAAGTACCAGGTCCTGGGTCACCCGAGGGGTGTGGTTCCATTCTCAAGTGTGTGAGGTGCTACCCACTCCCCCTCCACCCACCCAGCGGCGTCTTAGTCCCTTAATAAGTACCAGCTGCGGCACAGGCTCTGGGGACATGTGGAGCCCTCCTGAAGCCAGGACCTGGGGACGGTGGGTTACGCTTCACGCGGTGCCACCCACCGTGCTGGGGAAACAAAGCAACAAACTCTTTTTTGGAAGGAAAATTTCTGAGTTTTCTAAGAGCAATTTTCGTCCTGAACTACGACCAGGATTAATCCTATTCTTCGTTTGGTTTGTGGAGAGGAGTCCACGTTCCTCCAGGGTGGCCCGCGGGGCTACTTCTTGGAGTTCACCGAGAGCCTGAACAGGGCGATGATGTCTGCCATGGCTTGCTTCAGGTGTCTCCCAAAGCGGTGGGAATCCTTGGGTTTGAAAGCAGAAAGCAAACCACATCAAGACGCAGAACCCCCCGCACTTCTAGTCTTCACGTTTGTGATCTGACTCCACACGCTCTCAAATTCCTTTCTGCCAGGGAAGGCCTGGAGCTGCGGTGGGTGCAGCCTGAGGCTTCCTGGAGTCCACACACCCGTGAAGAACACAGTGCCCCTCTCCACCGCCAGCCAGCTTGCTGGAGGGCGCCTCCTGGGAACCTGTTTGGCTCTGGCCTCCAGGACGTGAACTCGTACCTGGCCTGCCCTACAAAAACTGTCCACCTGCCAGCCGCCACCCACGAAACCCAGTGAAAAATGTGATTTAAAACCAGGTGAGGTGGTGCACGCCTGTCATCCCAGCAGCTCCGGAGGCTGAGACAAGAGGGTTGAAAGTTTGAGGCCAGCCTCATCAACTTAGCAAGGTCCCATGCAGCCGGGTGAGGCCCTGCCTCAAAACAATGAATAATAAATAAAAAGGGCGGGGGATGTGGCTCAGTGGTCAAGTGCCCCTGGATTCAATCCCTGTTCCACACCCCCCAAAAAAGTGCTTTGAAAGCCAGACAGGCATATGTTCTGGAAGAAGTAAAGGAGGGGGCAAAGGGGCCAGACCCAGGGCCACGGCCTCTGCCACCAACCACAGCACAGGAGAAGCTGGGTGTGAGTGGAAGCCCGTGCTCCAGAGGGGACTGCTGGGCCGGGATGGCACCTGGTGGCAGCGCTCTGGACATTAATGTCCCACTCTGGAGAATGACCAGCCCCAAGCTACAGAGGGATACCAGCTTCTTGGAAGCCTCAGATGTCTCACGGCAATGAAAACCCAATGGTCAGTTACACCGGGCACCCAGAGAGGGCCACGGAGACGTGCAGAGCCGCAGGGGCCCAGCTGCGAGGGGCTGACCTCAGAGAGGGACTCGAGGGAGGGGCTCTCCCACGGGACAGGGATCGAAGGCGGCTTCTTGTACCAGAAATCTATTCGTCTTCAGGGATGCCACTCTGTGGTCATGCCAACAACAGTCACAGCATCTCCCCTCCACCCTGTTTCCTGTTTCCTGATAAACTTTCTTATTAGTAGTAAATTCCTCTTATTTTAGTAAAAAAAAAAAAAGTGAACACGGCCTTGCTGTGGGGCTGTGTGGACGTGGAGAGGAGAATCTGAACGAGGAGCAGACGGGCCCTGGAGGAAGGCGGCCTCGGCCCCACAGGTTAAGAGAACCTGAAATCCATTCACCCAAAAACTCCCGCCCAACACACAGGCCACCGAGTCGGGGGGTGTGGTAAAGCGGGCCGCGCTCCCACTCCCTCGGCACTCACCGTCTCGGGGCTGGAGAGCTTGGAGGAGACGTGGAAGTGGATGAAGTTCTCTCCCACGATGATGTAGGACACGCCGTAGCCATCGTCGGCCACCTGCAGGACAGAGCGGACGGAGCAGCGTGAGCCAGGGCCTCCTCACAGTCCAGCCAAGACGGCCGCGGACTCCTGCAGAGGTGATCGGGGACCAGGGCCGCAGAACCAAGGCGGGCTGGAGGGTGGCGGAGGCCGGGCACGTCCCTCCCTTTCCATCAGTGACACCCGGGGCTGCACCTACCGGCCCGAAGCCCCCTCCACTGGACACGTATTCTGGGTTCCTCTCCAGGTCAAAGAGCTCCACCTGCTGCTGAGGGGTCTGGCTGGTCGACAGTCGCCAGGGCTCAGATAAGACCTGGGGAGGGAAATAAGGAGATGTCCAGGGCACGCCGTCCAAAGCCTGTCCTCACACCTCCCGAGGGAAGGCAGGAGAGACCTGCTCTGCTGGCCAACAGACTGGACACTGGAGGCCTATGTTCTGAAGGCGGTGTGGCCTAGGCAGGATGCAGGGTGGGGGCGGCCCTGGACTGGGCAGGGGTCACCAGCCAGCGGCCCAGACAGAGGTGGCAGAGTTTGGAAAGATCTAGAATGGGGGAGTGCTGTCAGATCGGTACCAGCTCCCGAGAGCTGAAGGGTTCACCTTCAGGGGGTTTTCAAGCTAGTTGTTAAATACAAGCCACTGCTAAAAAATTAAATTTTACAGCTGGGTACAGTGGTGCAGGTCTGTAATCCCAGAGGCTCAGAAGGCCAAGGCAGGAGGATAGTAAGTTTGAGCCTCAGCAACTTGGTAAGATCCTGTCTCAAAACATAAAAAGGAAAAAAATAAAATAAATAAAAGTTTAACAAATAAGGCCAGAAAAAAATAGACAAAATAAAAAGGACTGAGGATGTGGCTCCATGGTCAAGCACCAATCCCCAGTGCAAAAATAAATAAATAAACTTTACAAATTTTCAATTAAAGAAATCCTACTAAGGACCAAGGTGACAGACCCTCAGCTCCCCGCTGTCACGTGTTTTCCTGTGATCTGGCTCTGAGGGTGTTCCCATCTAGTAAGTCAGGAAGGTAAATCCGATAGCAAGGCAAGTTGCAAGGTTTTGGAACTGTGGTGGCTGTCCCTTGTGTGACAGCCGTACCCTGGGCCCAATCTGCCGTTCCGATGTGCAAGGCTGCACTGGTCACTAGGCGAGCTGCCCTGGGGGCGACTTACTTCCTTAAGGAAAGGGGAGTCCACGGCGAGGTATCTGGACACCACGTAGAGGCAGAAGAGGTGGCGGTCGATGCCAGCGCCCGTCATGGCCAGGCGGTACAGGTGCTGGTGCTTCTCGGAGGCCACCTTGAACAGCCTGAGCCTGTGCTCCACCTAGGCAGCAAAGGCAGCAAGGAGAGGCGTCCATGTCTCCGGCGAGCAACCTGGATCTGCGTTTCCAACACTGCCGCCTCCCTCCAGGGGTCAGCGGGCAGCTGTGGGCACCTGCTGCGCTGAGCCAGGGCTGGAGCTCCACTGACCACACCCCCCAGATTCCCGCCTGGAGAGGGCTGTGGGGTGGGGGTGGGCAGCCTCCCAGAGCCCACCCACAACATCTCCTGCCACACAACGAGATCACCAAGGGGGCGCCTGCTGTGAGTGCCCACTGTCAGAGGGCACTGTCCCCCAGGTCACCCTGGGTCTGGCCAATGATTCTGCTAAAATGGCACTTCTGGGACCTTTGGATCTGACCCAAAGGGCCACTGAGGGTTCTTCTGGGCTCTGCGATGGAAGCCACAGGAGCAGGCTCATGCGACACCCTCGCCCGGGGTCTGGCCCCACCTCACCGCAGGGCCTCCCTGCCAGGCTGGCCTTGAAGGCGTCCAGGGACGGCTGGAGCCCCTGCCCACACCACCTGGTGGGGTCCCCTCCGTCCATCAGAGGTAAGCACCTGCGCTGTGGGGCCAAGGGCCTGGGCACAGAGCTGACCACGGCCCCTAGCTCTCCCGGCCCAGCAGTCGGCTGGGTTCCCCGGGGCCTGTCGCTGTCCCTGAGGAGGGACGGTGACACCTCACTGGGCTGCTGTCGGGGCTGCAGGAGGTGCCACTCAGAACCCCAGCCCCCACCTGGCACGTGGCTCCCGGGGCCGTGGGCTCTAGTGACAGCTCCAGCTGTCTCCCCGCATCCCCCTGCTCCTCCGCCTGTCTCAGGCCACTCTCATCATCTCTAGCTGTGTGTGACAGAAGCTCTGTGTGCCCCTGATGTCACCTCTTAGTACTTCCTGCTCCCCAGGAGGGGGAGGGAAGGAGAGGCGGGGAGGGGATCGGTGTGTGGAGGGGACAGGCTGTGCCTGGGCGCCGTGTCCCCAGGCAGGCCTGCAGGGCACCGCGATCCCGGCACAGCCCCTTACCGTCTGGCTGGGGTCCATCATGGCCAGCACGAAGTTGCAGGACTCTGTGGTGCAGGAGCGCACGGTCTCTGTCCTGCCCTCTCGGAACAGCCGGGTCATGGAGGCCTCGTACGTGAGGCAGAACTTGCCCATGTCCTGGGGAAGGAGAGCGCCTTGTACCGGGGGTGTGGCCGGGACGGCGGGGCGGGGCGCAGGGAGTGGGTGCAGCGGGCCGTGTGGCTTTGAAGGGCCAGCTGCCTGGGTTTCCACTCCATGAGGTGACTGGTGCTGTGACCTCTGCTCAAGTCCCCGAGCTGACCCAACCACGCACGGATGCTCGGGAGGGACTAGTGGACAGGATCTGCAGGCAACGTCGGAAGTGCTGCAGGGACTCAGGGTCCCTGGGGCTGGGGGACAGTGGGAAGGGTCCGGGAGGGGGAGGGAATGGGGGAGGGAGGACGGCAGGAGGACAGGAGGGCAGGCCTGGAGCTGGAGCCACAGCAGTGCCCGGGGCTGGCACAGAGGGCCCTGGAAAGCTGCTCCTCTGGATAAAACACCAAGGGTCACCCCCTGGCAGTCGGCGGGAGGGGCTGCTGGCAGGCAGAGGTGAGGAACGGCACAGGGGGCAGGGGACAGTGGTCTCCAGGGCCTCTGCAGCCAGCTGGTGCCTCCCCAGGAGGCAGAGTGTGGGGCTGGGCTGCTGGTGCCCCAGGCCAGCTCCGAGACCACAGGACTCAACAGGAGGCAGTTGGTGACCGTCATCCTGGCATCACAGTGCCTTGGCACTGGCCCTGGTGGCCCCAGGGTGACAGACCAATGCATCTCCAGAGGCCAGCAGGGGACAGGTGGACACTGGGGGATGCACCTGGGCAGGGTGGGAGGCAAAGGAACCGCACTTTCATGCAGAGATCCAGACCCTCAAGTGACCATGCCTGTGTGGCCACCACCCGGCTGGCAGAAGTGTCGTGCTGGGACCCAGCGGCATGAAGCACGGGGCCCACCAGCACAGCCCCGCTGCTCTCCTGGGGACTGGAGACCAGAGCAGAGGAGATGGTGGAGGGGGACGAGACCGCTGGGACCCCTGGAGGGCCCACCATCTGGACATGTGCCCAGGCAGGGGCAGGTCGGAGCCGAGGGCCCAGCATGGCAGCCGCCCCCATCCTGGGGCACCGGCTCCCATCAGTCCCCCATCTACAGCAAGAAAGCGAGTGGCCCCGGGTGAGGGGTGCAGCCTGAGCACTGCCACACACACACAGACACACACACACACCCACACACACACACACACAC